GTCCAAACAGCGTTTACACTTTTCGATATGTCGACGAGGCTTATGAATGGTAGCCATACCAGCCTCTTCGAGAATGCGGTAGCCCGGGCGAGGGGCGTTGTTCCGGTCGAAAAGGGCTTTCCAATTTCTGTACGGCGCCCCAGGACGGCATGTCCTATGCGATCGCACCTGGATGGGAAGCTGTCGAGTTATACGGTAGATCTCAGTTGAGATCCTATCCGCATCGATCGTACGAATACCGTCGTCTGTTTGTATGGTCGTGGGTATATTCGCGATCCGAAAGGCGACAAGGTTAGAGGCTTCCTCAAGCTTGGCGCCAAAGTCCGAAAACTTTGGTGCGGCATCTAGGAGCTCTTCCCTTTTATTTTCATTCCCTGTCAGAATCGCAAAGCCGGTTCTGACACGATGTACGGAGCTATTATCCCCGACGAGGCACTGCGGCCCATTCCATATTCGTTTCGTTATGGCGCTTGGTGAAAGCTTGCGCCACGGGCGCTCCTTTTCTAGGCGAAGATTTAGTCGTTTGTCGACTTTCGCCTTCGGGGCATCTTTCTTTGGGGCCTTTGCCGCAGGTTGCGGCACAGCCTTTACAGTTGAGACTGCTTTCTGTCGCAGTCCGTTTCTGGCCACCGTAGCCCAGGTGCTTTTTACAGGCAGCACTGGGACGGCGGGAATTGGTATGCTCCTGGTGTCGGGAGCCCTTAGGGGAGGGTTTGCCGCTATTTCGGCGGCGTGTTGTTGTTCGGCTTCGACTATTGGTCGGATCTCAGGAGGGCATTCTGCTTTTGTGGCATCTTTTGGCTGCGACGTTGGTTTTGGCGCTACTTTGGGTGCAGCGCTCTCCGACGGTATTGACGCGGTCGGAGGAGATTTTGACGATTCTCCGATTCCATGGGAGATGGAGGGTGGTTGAGGAATTTCCTAAACAGTTTCAACTGACCCGATCATGTCAGTATCGGGTTCAGCGACGGCGGTGAGCGCTTTTTCCTTCCCTCTGATGGAGAACTTGCCCATCTCCGCGCATTTCGGAGACTGGATAAGGCCAGGTACTTGTTCGAGAGCCCTCGGTTGGACTCTCGGGTTGTCCAGCTTGGCGTTGGGACGCTTTTTGCGAACTAGAGGCATGGTGAAAATGCCTGAGCTCGATCACAATTCAGAGATGGATGCAACGAGGTCGAGAAGGGAGGAAAGAGGGAAAAAATGAATTTTCGAATTTCTCGAATTGTGCGTTTTTTGTTCATTAAAGTGCTAGGTGAAGTAACTACCGTCGCACTCCTACTGGAGCTTGAGCACGAGTGGGGTCGGGCCGAATCAGGTTAACTACCGTGCAGTACAAATGCCTCGTCCCACTTAAATGACCGGAACCATGCCAAAATGCATCTATGTGTTGGACCATGACAGATTCAGCAGCCCAGAATTGATAACAAAACAAAAACTTTCACGCGAAATCCCGCATTACAAAAGAAAAACCTAAACAATCTCCCTTCCATCGTTCCGCCTCAGTCACCATGCGCCTGAGCCTCGAATACAATCTCTCCGTCCATGCCAAACCACCTAGGCCTTTGATCTATCACCTCCGAGACACAGGTATCCCTGCCATCCCCCGACTAGCCTCCGCGTTAATCCCGCTCTCCTGGACGTAGTCCCTAAACAGCTGCCATCCCCTTGATCCAAGCATTATTTCCAGAGCCGGCGCCCTACGCTTTCCGCTTTTCAGCCGCCATGTTGCCAGTGCTTTTCGACACTGGACAAGGTGACCAATTGATTTTTCCCTCCCGCACTCGCAGTAGAGTTTGGCGTCAGTGTGACTGAAGCAGCGATGATATGCCGCAAAGTCCCCTTGTCCAGTTCGAGCAGCGATTAAGCGGGCGTAGACCGCTCTAGGTAGCGCTAGTTCTCGCGGTTTCTTGCGCTACATCTCGAGTTCAAGGTCGGCGTAGTGTTTGGGACGATTTGAGTGCCACCAGTCTGTCAACATCTGCCTGGCCAGTTCACGGGCTTTCCGTCCAGATGAGGTGAGGGTCATCACACCATGTGCCTTCCTAGAGTTGTCCGGCGAGTTCATTGGCGATTTCATTTCCTGCCAGCCCTTCGTGACTCGGAATCCATCCTAGTTTTACAGGCGCGGCTGATCTCGCGGCCATTTTCACGAACTTTTGGATTCGCCAGGATGATGAGCCCGTTGTTCCCGTCAGTAAAGCCTGGACAGCCGCAGAATTTTCGAGCAGGATGTAGATAGCGCTGCGTCCTCGATCTCGATTGCTGGCAGTAATTGCTTCTAGAGCAGCGAAAGCTCCATGAACCTCCGCGTTGTAGACCTCCGCATTGGTAATTTTGCCTGAGTCGCTTTGCTCAATTGCCGTACCTGTGCCACTGATAAAGATCACAAAGGCCCATGACACTCTATCGGTGGACGCCCCAGAAGCATCACTATAAACGCAGAGACAGTCGAGTGGGAGTGTCAGTAGCCACTCTCTTATAAACTTGGCCGCTTCTTTCTTGCTTGTACAGCAAGGTTTTGACGGAGGGGGTAACGGGGGTCGGAGCGGTGGAAGTTCAGCGTCTAGCAGAAGTCGGTACATCCTCTGGACCCTCGAATCATGAACTCTATCCAGACCAAGTCTGGTTTTGTTGCATGTCTTTAGTCCGAGTCGGTGGCGAGCGCTGTCTGTGCTTTCCGTGGCCCGAAGTCGAAGCGGATGGTACTCATCTAGTCTTCGTATTCGTGCGGCAGTCTTGAGCCTGCGTTCCTCGAGCAGAATGTGTGCTGGTGGAATGCCAGTCTCCCTTCTCAGGGCTACGATGGACATGGTGCGCCAGGTTGGTAGACCCACGCGAATTCCTAAGGCAGAAGTTCGGTCAATAACTTTGCACTGTCTCTTACATGAATTTCGCTCGACACCCCGATAGGTTTCCCTAGTTGGCCTCGGGTACCAGGATTCCGCTGCGTGCATCGCGATTGGTAGGACTACCGTGCGGATCACTGTGGTTAGTAGGTCGGGCCTTGGTCCCTGGGTGCACTGAGTGAGCCGTCGGAAGTGTTGCACTAGCCGCATTGCTTTACTGGTCCACTTTGCGACGTGGCTTTCGAAGGTTAAACCGCGATCAAGGTGTACTTCGAGCCATCGGATATCGTCGGATGCTTGTATATCGCGAGTGCCTACCCTTATAGCCGGAAGATCGTGTCCCCTGGATCTGGGGCCGACGAAGTAGACTACTTCGGCCTTATCTGGGTCGAAAGAGACGCCGCTATCAGCAGCCCATCCGAGGACTGCATCGTCTTCTCGCTGGACAGCTACTGCGGCTTCGTTCGGAGTTGAGCCTATGCCGAGGATAGCAACATCATCTGCATAGCCAAATCTCCAACTACTGCCCCCCACGACTTCGGCCATGTAAAGGAGGAAGAGAATTGGGAATAAAGGCGATCCTTGTGGCAGCCCGCATTCTAGGTGAATTGGGTCTGTTACTCCATCCTCGTGTCTGATGCGGGCGGATCGTTTGTCCAGGAAAGACTTTATCCAAGTGATAGCTGGTTTCGGCCACCCAACCTTATTCATCCTTTGCAGCACTTCCTTTACGTTGAATCATCTATACTGTAATTTTCTTTGATATTGTGTCATATCTAGATAGCTGCATACGCAATTAAAATCTGATGCAAAAAATAAAAGATCAGCGCCTGTGCACCAGCCTGTATTTTCCACCCTTTCCTAATACAGCAGCCCGATCTCCTACCTCCCTGTCATCTAACAACTCAACCGAGTCGTCACATAATGAAGCCTTATAATGAATTAATTAGATTAGATTTGTACTATACTCCTAACTGAGTTAATGACTATAGAGGACTCCTAGAATTCATAAATGAGATACTAGCTACATTTCATAAGTTCCAATTGTCTAACTTCAAAATTTGCTCTCATGAACAGCGAGGAACAATCCCTATTTAAAAGGGTTTACGGAGCGTACCTAGCACCCACTACGGAGATGGCGGATTGGATCAAGATGGCCTCTAATGTTACAAAGAAGGGTGATAAAGATGAACATGCGCAACTAATGTGGTGCTGGTATCTAGGCCTCTGCTGGTTGGCGCTGCAGCTTTTCCGAGACATTCCCGCGCACGCAGTTTCCGTGCCAGCCTTCATTCTGTGGCTAAAAGCCCCCAGTAAAAGACGGCTGAATTCCACCAGTACATAATAAGCTAAATAGCTATTCATCATGGACAATATATCAATGATCCTACAAGTAACAAATGAGGATAGGAGCACTGCACAAGGTATGGCCTGGATCAAAGTGGAGCCCAATGTGCCAGATAGTTTATGACTCAAGTGGCACAATAAACATCAACAGCCATGGATTCGACTCCATGGCCAAATCTGGCAGTGCAGATAAATGGGTGAAGCATGATGAGACACTCCACACTCGTCAATCTAATCAGTTCATCTTTGCTTCTATCAAGCTCCCTGGTATTTTCAAGCTGGAAAATATCCCATCAGCATGAGAAAAAAGACCATGCCGGCATAGATGTTTGTTAGATAAAAGATTGGAGATCAAATACTTATCGCGGTATATTCCTCGGCTGAATAGAATTGACCCTCCCTTTCATGGTCAAATTCAGGTTGTTCTAGTCAGTTAATCATCGATTAAGGAGCCTCATAGTCAGAGATTGGCTCATTCATTCCTCTGGCCCCATCCGCCATGGAACACACCCAAGACAATTCCGGCTCCACTAATCTAAATACATATATAGTTGTCATAAAATCATGACTTGTGAGGTATATAATTATATGTGTGGCTCGTATTCGGGAGGAATTTTAATGTAAATTTTAGACTACCATCCTCCTTACTCTTGCTATCATAAAGATTGGCGCAGAACAACAACAAAAAAGTCCACATACAAGGCTCATCTAATCTTGTGATTCCTCGTTACTGAACACTGGTCTTGGTATCAGGCAGCTGACTGTCCTTAGTCCAAATTTTGATTCCAGACGTACATTTTTCTCCACATGAAGTTCTTCAGCCCTGCTTTAAACGCGACGTTAGCAGGTCTTTTACAACTCGTAATTGCCGAGAAGAGAATTCCACATTATATATGTAATTGTGGTCAAATATTTAAACTTTCATTGGTTCGAGATATCGCATCGAATATTTCTTTTGAGCTATCGAGGACTATTGTTCCGCCTGTTCCCGAGCCTCAAAATCGTGAGTCATATGCATTTGAATTTGAAAATAAAAAGTTAAATTATGGTGATTCTCCCATTCCTCTGACATTCGTCTCGGTAACCGTTCTTTTCTACAACTAGGTTTACACCGGTATTTAGTTCAACAAAGCGGAATACTACAGGCAACCTCTTTCTTCGAGTTGGTTGGCACAAACTGGGAGGAGTGTGATTTCAATATATATTAGCAGACGTCGAAATTGTTACCAGTTGGCATTGAAGAGAATCAATGATATTGTGTTGTGCTGGTGATGGCTAGGATTACGATGCACGAGGGTAATGATCACTGAGGGTGAATGAAGAACTTCCCAGGTGGCTCCATGATGAGTAGAGGAACAATGGAGCACTGTGTAGAAAGTCTTTCTAGATAATAATACCAGATGGGGGATACTAGAATATTCCGTGATACTGTTTTGGGTAAATAAGGCGAGAGTCTAGCTACCTCCGATGTGTATATAATTAAGTCTTTCTACCTCTTAAATCCTCATAGTTCGGAATATCAAACATATCAACAGTTCAGATTGATTCATCAATAATCATCCGTAAACCTTCTGCCAATTAACCTCCGTAAGCTCTTACCTTTACAACACTCTGGGAGAACATTTCACTCTCAGGTTCGTAGAGTATACCGTTTACAGGTGTTCAGTCTTGCCCTCCGCACTCAATATTCCTCCCACATAAAAAAATAAGTTATTCAATTATCCTGGTTTGGCATCTTATGGCCCGTGCTTCTTTTTGGAATAATTTTATTTTGTATAAGATGATTCATTTTGATGTTATGAACACTCACACTTAGATGTCATTTGCAGATACCACTCGACGTAAACGCTTAAGGCATACAACCTCTTCCATTTCAAGAAAGACATCAATAGGAGAGACCAATTCACAATTATGGCTCATCTAGTGAAGATGACAAAGGTGTTGCAATAGGGGGAGTAACATGACTGCACTACAATAAACTGTTCACGTTAGAATAATGTGCACATGCGCCATCAGATATGATTGACCTAGAACATCACTCATTGGTATGACATAGTCTTTCCCAATAGATTCCTGATGTTATTTGTTGGCACAAGAATCTCCCGTATCCCTTATCCTTTTTATGCTGTATTGTACCTCTCTTCAACTCTACAACGGTCCTTCATAGTCATAGACTCAGCAGGGACTTAAATTTAATTCTATTCTATTCAACTCTACAACCTCACAAATGCATTCGGACACGGTGATGATCTGGCCATCCTATTAACTCAAAAGTCGCTCACAGAAAACTGTGAATTTCTGACAAAGCCCCCAAGACAAGCCTCCGAATAGAGTAAGACCGGAGGTATCACGTTTTGTTGCAGAAAATCCGAGATACAACACTTTTCCAGGCGTCGCTACGATAGGGATCCATACAGTACACTAAGAGTATTGTGCGGCGAGATAGATATTACTGAAAATACATCCCGCCCATACACTTGGTGGCTGGGAGTACACTTTGTTAAAAGACTGAAATTCAAATGGCATGTACGGATCTTAGCCGGTAAATCTTGAAAGTTGCGAATGGACTCAAATCTCTGGGCAACACCACAAAAGAAGCTCCACCTTACCTACTTCGTCAAGCTGCTCTAGCCTACGTCCTACCTATCGTGTTATTGAGCCGAGACCTGGTGGCCAGGCCATAGCAGGAAAATCAACCAAACCCGCACAGTTTTGAATCGCGTTGAAGGACACGTTTCTTTCCTGCATGAAGTCATCGTGACATGCGTTAGGGCTATCTTGCCAGTGTATAGGACCATTTCAACATCTGCACTAATTCGTGGATCTGACCTCTTGCCACCTAAACTTCAACTAGACGCTAGAGCCCGCCAGGCCGTCCTGCAAATACGTCGCCTTGATAGCAGGCACCCCTTTCGACGAAGAGCCAATTGAGTCATCAAAAATTTTAGGCACGTTTTCTGTTTCTCGGAGTGAATCTTGGCAAGCCCCTCCGTAGAGGGTGTAGACCCACTAATCAATGCCCCTTGGTCCGTGAAAGGAAGCTTGCGTGACAGCATCAGACAAATAACCCAGCACCAAATCTCTCTGCCGACATAAATTCGTTTCCAGGACCTTGTCGCAAACACCGATAGGAGTAGACTCCAAGTCTCACTAGATTCAGAGGCTCGAGTTGGGGGCGGATTAGTTCTGCACCAAGCTGGAAGAGTTCTGCTTAACAAGTTGGTAGCACTCAATTCCTCACAAAACATATTTGACGCGGAAGTCACTGGAGTTATCTTTGCAGTAGAAGCTGCATTTGGCCTCCCTACAGCCAGATTTGGTAATAGTCTCTGGATTCTGTTAGATAACCAAGACGTAGCCAGCAAATTAAAAAGTGTTCCGGTATGCTCTTCACAGGGAAAGTTTGCCAAGTTCACTTAATATGCAACAGCTTGGGAAAATCGGCCTCGACTCCCACACACCATTACAGGCAAAATAAGAGTGTTCTAGATACAAGGTCACGCCAGGATTATAGGAAATGAACAGGCAAACGCCGCGGCTAAAGTGGCCCTACTTTTACCTTGTCAAAAATATATTTCCCTAAACTTAAACATAGTATCACGATGCTTAAGTTGAGTAGTTTGCAAGCGAGTATACGAGGCTGATGCATCATAGGCAATAATTTAATTTATGCAAATATTACAACTAGCAACTAGACGGATGGCCAATTTCCTAGGCACAACTCGCTCATTGTTTCATTCCTTCTATTGCCAATGATAATGTCATAGTAGATTTTAGAACCATGTATTGAACGAAGATTTGAGCAGTTCACATAGAGAATCTAATAGTCAGTCTATAACTGGAATTAGTAGAATACTCTTAAGATGTATATAGAATCCAGATAGACTCACCATGGTGGATGAAAATCAAATCAATCAACTCTGAGAGAGATTCACATAAGTATAACTATGCCAAACATACCTCCACCTAAAACCACACCCCTAACTTTGACCTCTGCCAAAAACTAGTCAAAAAGGTAAAAAGGCTCCTGTCAGATTAGAGCGTAGGCGTTTGACCTGAAGCGTAATAGGAGGGCGAGAAGAGGTCGGATTGATCGCAAGAGATGACTGAAGGTCTTCTGGAGATAACTAGAAGGAAGTCTTAAAGGACGTATATAGAATGTAATATAAGTTAATTGATGTGTAAGTTACAGGTATTATAATAGCTGGTATACAACGCTAGAAAGTAATGTAAATGCTACGGGATAAAGTCATGTGACGAAAAACAGCGTAAGGCTGACACTTCAACAGGAACTAAAGGTTTTAAAGATGGATTATCTAAATAGCTAGAAGGTCTAAAGGTTCGAGTGGTATTATTGTTATATGTTATGGGGTATAATTGTGATACCTGAGGTGACTAGAGGTAATCCGAGGTGATCTGAAGGTGGTGATTGTGACAGAAGACTAAGCGTGAAGAACTCCATAGCTACAGACCAAGCCATCATACATATACTTGCTTTCCTCCAACTAGCTCATCATAACATAGGCTCTTATTAGTACCAACCTAATAACCAGTGCCAAGAACTGTTCTGTTGTCATAGCAACATCAGGAGAAGGGTAAAATTATAAACTAAAGTTAGGATGGGAGGGAGAATCCTTACAGCTCCCTACTTGAGGAATTCTGGACACTCGAAACCTCAGCCTCATATCAAGCAGTATAAATTGACACCATCAAACAATGCCCGCACTTACTTTTCACAGCTCATTCTATTGCGGCCTATCTTTATGCTGCTCGCTCTGGTGTAACGGCTGTTAAGCCTAACGGTTGCTGTAGCCTACGCTGGATAGCATAGGCAATGAAAGCAAGGGAATTTTCGGGAAGGATCTTGTTGAAAATCGAGGGACAAAAGACAATTGGCAAGTGGCGAGTGGCGAGTGGTCAAAAGCTGGCGTGGACTCAAATCATAAGATTCTAAACTAAAGAGAAAAGTATATAAGGAAATATGAATCTGTATTAAGGAAATAATGACCCCTCAGTCATTGAGGTTGTAGAGCGCATTGATTCAAGTAACTACCGAAGTGAAACTCTTAAGAAAGATATGTGGGACACAGTATTACATTGTAAATGTTGACTAGAGAGCTCTAATGCTACAGATGAAGTCTATGTACTGATAGCCAGGTCATGTGACCTGACAAGCTTAGTGTATATGAGTAGGTGGAATAGTTCCTCTTGATAGAAACTAAGTACAGTATTTTTAGGGGGACTATTCTCAACACCTGTCAGTGGTGTCCCCTACGAACCTCCAGCTCTCACTGTAGAGTCTGCAGAGCCGAGATTGAGTAACAAAGTCCTCACTTCGAAGAGGATTCCAAATCGCTTTCGCGGTCTGTATTGTCTTCATCTCTCAACACATTCCCCTATCACCACTATCATGAAGCTAACCACGATCAGATCAGATGGTAGGGTCGGAGCCTTACTCGTCACCCACCCTTGATCATGGAGGAAAAGCCATCCGATGAGTTTCCGGAGCGTACCCAGCACCCGATACGGAGATGGCGGATTGGATCAAGTCGACCTCGACTGTTACAAAGAAGGGAGATATAGATGAATATGCGCACCTCATGTGGTCTCGGTGTTTAGGCCTCGCCTGGCTGGGGCTGCAGGTTTTTTGAGACTTTTTCCCGCGCACGCAGTTTTCATTGCTACCATTTTTATTTTTTTTGGGTAGAAGGTTCCGTGGAAAAGGTGGCTGAATTCCACGGGTAAATACTGAGCTGAATGGCTATTCATCAAGGGGAATATATCAATGATCTCTCAAGTAACAAAAGAGGATAGGAGCACTGTACAAGGTGTGGCCTGGGTCAGAGAGGAGCCCAATGTGCTAGATAGTCATAGACTAAAGTAGTACAATAAAACACAAACACACACACACACACAATTTTTTTTTGCAAAGGATACCAATTGTTTTGGGTATTCTCCTGTGCATCCATCTCCTACTCTCAGTGGAGATCGAATATAACTCGTCAGGAAAGTAAACCTGACAAAATGGGAATCGAGGCGAGGAGTATTGCTTCCCATTCTTAATTATTTGCAATTTATCTTTTTCTTTTGTCAATTTTGGGAAAAGGAGTTCGCGTCGGCGCATATTTTTAACTTACTGCTGGTTTTGTGGTGGTTCATGCGGTGGAATCAAGCTGGGTATGTCTAAGATGTAGTTCTGGCTGTGAAC